CCCCTCCCACATGTGCATGCGCCTACAACTTATTCATGCCGGTTTCCATCGTAAGCAAGGTGAAACAAACGGAAAAGCGATAGTTTTCGGCTGTTCAAAAGTGGCAGCAACCAGGACTCAAAGTGACACCAAGACCATAGGCTGCCGTTGATGCCCACTGTTTTCCGCGTGAGAAACTATTAGCAATCCCTGTTTTGCATCTAACAAGCGTCTGAACGCTTGCTTTGCTGCGCTTATTTCTAAAAGTTAGAAATTTGAATTGCCTATTTTTGCTGTGAAGCTCTCGGCTCTAGGTGTCCTGGTTGCCAAGATATGGCGCAAAACGTGAAAAACCATAAGACATGACCAAAAAAGAAAAGAGAAGTTTTTTAGAGCAAAACTTCAAATAATAGCTTAATAGTTGCCACATCTCCCAGGTCTGGACAATGAAGAAACTACTTCACAGTGAAGAAATGTTTGCTACCAGGGACGTTTGCAAAATTTTATAATTAGGATGGGACAATGCTCTAAAATAGAAACCAAAAACCAAATTTATTACGCCGCAAAAAAACGCAATTTCTTACACGTCAATAAATAACATTCCATGTTCCTTTGCAAACTTACCAAAAATTTTGAATTGTCATCATACAGTCACCTCCATATCAATCCTTTTTGCATGCATGCGTGGTTAAACAGGAGCCTACGTGGTACCAAACCTGACATGTTAAAAAATATGATAAGCAAGAGCAGAACCATAGTCAACGATCAGGCTAGCAACATAGCAGCAACTTTCGCTTCGCCGTCATTGGCCCTTTAGACGTGGACCAAATACACAAATGTTAAATTATGCATTGATAGCTGATCAAACAAAATGCCTCTAGAGTAAAGTTATTGGCCGTTCTAATAGGCTTGACGAAAAAAACATAAGCTTGATACTCTGTTTACTCTACTTTCCGTGCAATTGAGAACCTGGTGTTTGAGGAGTACGGCGGGATAAAATTAGGCGCCAGTTGAACAAACGCTGGTGTGAAAAGGGTGTGCCTTCTCAGTCAGATTTATCTTTCTAGTCAGATTCGAGCCAGTTTTTCACCGCGACAGTGTATAATTTCGGATTCTGGTAATCGAGAAAGTTATTTCGGTTTCAAATCTCATAGAAACTACAATGGACAGCGACATGTATGGCCCATTAGCCATTGTTTGGTAACAAGTCAAGCTGATAGTCGAGTGAAAGGCACGGAACGCAGGTAAAACTACTATTTCAAGCTACCTATTTCAAGCTACCTAAGTGTATTGGTACTTCTAATAGGGCTGGAACTCGCTCGTGAAACGGTTTGGCCCGTCGCAAATCACGGTAGCCCGTTCCTTTGCAACTTCCGTCTGCGTCTCCCTTCAGGGTCCCTGGCAGACACAGGACCCCTGTTAAGCGCTGTGGGCCCCTGACGGACACAGGAGCCCATAATTGTTCCAAGGGCCAGGAAAATGCAAGCTATGGGCCCAGTTTTGTTCCTGCTTGGGAAATGCATCCCCAAGGCGCAGACCGACACGGAGTGAACTGTTCGGCGTTGGCGGTCTCTGGCGAAACTAGGGGACCCGCATTGTACCAGGGGGGTCCCAATCAGTGCAGCAGGTTCGACTATTGACATTTGAGGCTCCGGCCCAAGGAAACTCAAATGTCAATTGTCAATTCACAAAAGGTTCCGGCCCAAGGGAATGGGCTGTTGTGGAGACCTTACAGCCAGCCGTCCGAGCTCCTTCGCCCTTTAATCGGGTCGTGGATCGTCGGCCCCCGGGAGCCCTTCTGCACTTCTTCGGACCCCCTAGGACACCGCTCCTGGGAGACCCGAGCCTCTTGCAAGTGCGGGATCCCTTGTAAGACGGCGTGGCCCCTGCTGACACCGGGGGCCTCTCATTGACTCAGGAGCCCCGGTTATTATGACCCATTCGCCGCCCGTACGAGCTACTTTTATCGCAGATGTATGCATAACTAATCTGCGTATACGCGCAAGTACGCGTACACGCGTAAATGCGCCAATACGCATAAGCTGCGCACTGGCGCATGTACAGGTGTCACGCATGACTCGCACATGACAGTACGCATAGGTTACGTGTGGGCCATATGTGGCTGTTATTTTAGGTCGAAGGCCGGACATTCGTCTGCCATCTGGCGGCCGTAGTGAAAGCTGGAGTTCATTGTCGCGACGAAGAGCCGTGTCGTCACGTAACATTCCTGAAAGTTTAAGTATCTGTTCTGGAAAGTATTTTTCTTAAGGGGTACTGGTCCAGACTCAATGGGAACCCTTCCGCCCACCTCCTATCAGTCACATCGCAACGATTTTGAATTCAGTTTTCTACGTTGGATTGAGCACATGCCAAGAACTACCAACCGCGCCACGTAGCGATTTCTCACACTTCGGTGTTAACATAAGCTACACACACATATATATATATATATATATATATATATATATATATATATATATATTATTTAACACTGGCGGGCGCGCGCGGGCGCCCGCGCCCAGCTGCGCATCAGGCACCAGTCCCGTCGGGCCCGCCGGCCACCCCAGTCGTCAATCCAACAGCTGGCGGTGGTGCCCGCGCGACCGCCTGCGGTCAGACGCGGACCGCAGTGATCCGGGCAGGTGGGCTGCCCGCACTACCAGGCGCCATCCACACGACTTGTGTCAATATTTAGGATTGTCAGGTCATGGCATATGGGTCAGTTAAGGTTGAACAAGGCCAAACAAGATAAAATTCCAGACTCGTATCCAACGTGCCCCGGAACTCCATCGTGCAGCGGTCTTGAGCCTAAATACCTGTTCTAAGCAAAAGTTCACTGGTATTAATTTCAGGTCAGTGATCTTGTTTCCTTGAGAAGGTCATAGTGGCCAAAAACCTCTACACGGTATGTTCATAAAAAGGGAAGTTCGATTGGCGACCCCTTAGGTCAGTGATTTGTTGCGACTTTTTTGTGAGTTACTTTTCCGAAGTTCAAGGAAGACGTCTGCCGCCGTATATGTTATCAAGAAACTCTAAATGAGCATCAGAATCATCTAACTGAGCATCAGAAGCTTTCACAGGTGCATCAGTAACTATCACATCAAAAAAGTTGTCCATTAAACAAACAAAAAACAGAATGATTTTGATCTCGGCCCGACCTCCATACCTCAACAAGGTCAGTATAATTTGTTGTAATGCTAAATTCAACGATTCATTGTTCGATAGGTTATCTGAGAGATGTACGGCTTCATCAAATACGCGATTGTCGCATTATATTGCGCGATTCCCAAGGAATTGCCCCCGCTGACAGCCACGGCCTGACCTTATCTGCCATAGGTCGACAGCCTACAATATGTTGTTTATACCAAAAGATACGTTATCCAATTAACTACGGCTGTGCAAAGTTTTGCGCTGCGCGAAAACTATTTCGGAAGAACCTTTTGGGGTAAGATTGACCCCCGCCCGAGCACGTGTTAAAAGGCCATTGCGTGACATCGTTCAGACACGATTTTTCTACGGCTTTGGTTGGGTTGAGGAAGGCGTGCAAGGCTGATGTTGAAACGGCAGTAAAAGGGTAATCGAAGAAAATGGCACCACTTCGGCGATTCAAAACAGATAGCGAAAATGTGGAGTTTTGTTATGAAAGTGGTGAAAGAAAGGCTGGGATCGGCAATAGTTAGGCTGTGTCAAATTGGCTGAAACACGTGTCAGGTGATTGCTCAAGGACAAGGAAAACAAGGACAAATGCTTACATCTTAAGCAACAACTCGCACTATTCAACCGATGGTTCTGTCAAAGGGGTGCAACTATCCTTCGGTGTACACGTGAGTGCAAAAATTAGCCAAAAATGTCACCAAAATATTTCTTGCAGCATACTTATAAAAACTGAAATGTTCTTGTTAGGTAGAAGGAGCGTTGGCCTATTCATGGAAAAGGGACAACTCTGTCCCATTTGTCGTCGCTAAACTCGCCTTTTCTATGGTTTTCTTGGGATGCCTTTTTACTACGTATAAGGAAACGTTAAATTCAACCTCCCATTTTAGGCCTGCATATTTCAGATGACTTCAGATGCCTTACTCACATTCGAAGGTTAAATCTGTGGGAAAAAAACTTATTTTTCTTCTTTTAGTTTTACCCGCGCATAGATCTTCGGACGCTTTCCACTGACAGCAAAGTAATGCATTTATGAATGAGGCCGTGTTCTTTTGCACACACTTTCGGATAACCCAAGCACGCATTCGTCAATGTGTAATAAAATGCTCCTGTATCGTTTGTGTGTATTTAAAAGCTTTGCATCTAAATACCAAAAGGTTTTCCTTACGTACCCCACTGGCAACCCGCAGAGGCATTAGCATCGCTAGGAGCCTTCCCTTTTCGAGGCCGGGAACCATCCATGCCATAACATTTCTGTGATACGGCGATAACGATATTCTTGCTGCAACTGTCTCATTGTCGACAACATCAGTTTCCTCTGGACACCATGTGGTGCGTGTAATGCCGGGAAGATCACTATCTTGCCAGGGTTGCCCAATTTCACTGGAGGTCCCTCCTAATACCGGACTCCAGAAACATCGGCGTGCATGCTATTCGCCCCAAATTCCATGCAATACGCGGGAAAGAGCATGTGGAAAAGTTAGAAATCTTAACGGCTGACTGTTTTGTGTTTTTGTAGCTGAACTGACTGTTTTGGGCTAGCCATGATAACCCGAACTGTGGCAAAATCTGTCCCCACCCGGAACAGTTAAAAAATTCGCATGTTTTTTACCCACGCCAGCAAAGCTTTGCAGATGTGTACTGCTCGGTCGATTTAATACAAAAGAAATGGGGGGGGGGGGGGGGACTGCAGCGGTGTTGAGCCATGATTTATCGCTAATCAATCCCGGTTTCTAGCGACCATCATTTGGGGTTGCTGCGTTCAAAGCATATTCTGACAATTCTGGCCAACGCCATCATCTCCACATCATCCAGACCGTCACCCGTGGCCGCCCTGTATGAAGATGTGCCAATGCAAATATTTTACCAGGGAAAAAGAGGAATAGTGTGCGACTGACTGTGTTGCTGGCAAATACGCTAAATATTGGTTTCATTCTCGATTTTGTATTTTTCATCAGATAATTTTGCAACATGTTGTGAATTGTGTCGTTTAAGTTGACCGATTAGTAGTTTTGCCTTTCACGTGTGACAACCCCGAACCTGGCCCAGGATTTTGGGCAACAACCATTCCACCATTGTTCAGTTAGTGCGTGGTTCCGGAATCGACTCTGACTCAAGCTAAGGTCTGACGATTTGTAAAGTCGACTCCGACTCAAGCTTAAGTCTACAGTCTGTCAAGCTTATCGACAACATAACTGATCAGTGCCTAAAAGCCAGAATCAGAAGACATTGTTATTCGTTGCAGATATCCTTAAATTCTTAATAACACCTTGCAAATATCCTTTAAAACATCCTAAGGAATCAAACAAAGTTAGCTGACATATATGATGCCCTCAATACGCGTGTAATGCAAATTTCGTACGAACTAGAAACAATCGCAACAATCACTTGGCTACATTGTATTTGTTGATATTGCACCACGTTGAGTGATTCGCGAAATTTACCATTTCAGTGCTTCCAACGTTGCATGCCCGTGATAGCCCGTCACATGTCTCCGAACAACGCCTCCGACATGCCAAGGGCACAACGTTACAGAATGCGTGCCACTTCGGCGACCAGAACGTCATCACGCGCTGCAGGGTGGCAGGTTGCACGCTATGCAGTCCGGCAGCGGGTTGTAGAAGACCAGGGGCGTCGCTTCACCGTCGCCCGAGTGAGCCTGGACGATGCAGCACACCTCACCCACGTACTGTCGAGAGATAGATACAACTGTCACCGAGCGAATCTGTGTACCAAGCCAGAGGCAAACGTGAAGACGAAGAAAAGATGGCATGCGTCTCTGGGGGTTTAAAGAGTAATCCCACATGTTTGTACTGTTCACTTCTTGTTAGACCATACGCTTCCTATTTGATCAGTGATATCAGTTTTTCGAAATATTGAATAGTTCATAATTTTGATTTGAAGTAGCCGACTCTGCAGGAGAAATCTCCTTTGACTCCCTGCTCACCCATTTAGAAGTAATACGCTTCATTTGCTTTGCTTTTTCCAGCACGTGTGTTCCGTAATGTTTGTCACACACCACTGTGTCAAAACGTTGGTATAATAAATGCTACGAACGGTTGAAACACTGTTTTGAGAAAAAAAAATATATGAACATAAAACTATTTTCCCGCGGATGCAACGGAACGTTACACCCAGGCTTTTATTTCTCCCCTTTGGCGTTCAACACAGTGTCCCTTTCGAGGCGCCTTTGGCTTCGGGAATGTATCACATGATCCATACAACGCACTGGTTCAAACTTCAACCAACCAACTTGTCGGTAACAGGCTCTTGCCCGCTGGGCCAATCACAAACATTTTCGTAATTTGCACCAGAAGAGGTACGCACGGTTGCTGTCATGACAACACTGGTCGCGACGGCACGGAAGAAGCGTACTACTGTTATGAAGCGTTGGCAGTGTAGTTTGGACTTGAATATAATTAAAATTAATACTCTTATTATGTGCTCACTTTGCTGCAGTGGCACTACCCAGTACTATCATTACGCCTAACTAGTCCTGTGGTTTCACTCAAGTACGTTTTTCGAAACATACTCCAAACTTGGGATATATGCCCCCTTTAAAGAATGTGAGGACTTACCAGGATTACAATGGCAAAAATCTGAAATGGCAATCGTTATATGCTTCTGTTCTTTTAACAAAATATGTTCCATCCAGGCTTCAACTATTCACACCTCAGTGTAAAATTTTAATACCCGCGTGCAAAAAAGGGCAAAGCAAAATGACCTGAACTGTCATACCAGCGATGGCCCTACATTGCAGATTGCTGTCAGAACTCAGTCGTTGAAAATAAATGGAAAGCTGCATGATGTATTCTTACAGATGTGCACAAACATGCATCAGGACGCGCTAATGTATCTTCTGCCACACATACGCTTGCCTCAGAACAAATAGTGGTCGGCCACAGCAATTAAATTTTGGTTTGATCAGGGTGGAACTGAACACGTTAACTATCTGTCGTCAGCTGCAGTCTGAGGTGGGCCAACCGAATGATCGGGGAGTCAGGTCAACCAGAAAGGTGTATTAAGACATGGTAGAGTTGTCCAGTTCAGTTCAGTTTACATGTATGGCATCTCATGAGCAGACGAAATAGAACACAGGCCAAGAAAGTTGTGCGACTAAGGGGATTCCCACGCGTAGGCTTTCACGAAGTCCGTGGAATAATTGTTTACCTCAAAAGCTGCCACCGGAATGCATACCACCGAAAGCGACCGCAGAGTGCAACCACTTATCCTTGAGTCTGAATCGGCGTGGGCTTCATTCAGGGTATGCCGAGCTTCTCGAACACCGGATCGGGATCAGCCTCAAACGTCGTGAGTCGGCGTTTGAATAGAGTGGGACCCAACACAACGTAGCGTTTTCACTCAATTATTGCATATCATTAAAGGAATCCTGGGGCGGAACAATGCCCCCAAATATGAGTAGGCTAAATTCACACATAACTTTAGTGACTCCTCAAATTGGCCAATAGTTGAGTAATATATGAGAACAATAATTATAATTTGAACAACAAAAGGATCAACAAAAAGGCGATGGATCGCCTGCTGCATCACCACATCATAATCAGTGATACCCTGAGCGCATCGGACATCTCCCAGCGGGCCACACCGTTGCACTGCCGACGCAAAACGCATCGGAACGGTTCAACAGCAAATAAATTTATTCAAAGCTTCTGAAGTGCTCGTTACGGACTCACAACGATTCTCGCCTATGCACTTCAACGGCCGGGCCCAATGTGGCCTGCAGACCGTCACAGGCCGTCACCTGGGTGTTGGAGCCGCGACAGCCGGTCATCTGGTAGGAGACCCAGAAGCTGAACTGCTCGATTGTGCCCGGCATCGCTTCTGTAATGTTGTTCGGCTGCATCAGCCCGCACAGGCTGGCGGCTGCCATGCCCTCGGGTGGCAGCAGTGACCCGACTGCGGGCGGAGGGGAGCGACGTCAATGCAGAGGGAGCCGGCGGCAGTGCAGGAGCCGGCTGCAGCATGAAGCGCAGCATGCAGCGGCGTTTGGCGAACATTTGTACCACTAGGCTGGTTGCAAGTCATTTGTTCTCACCACTTCTTTTGTACATACATATATATATATATATATATATACATATATATATATATATTTATTTATACATATATATATATATATATATATATATATATATATATATATATATATATATATATATATATATATATATATATATATATGCAAACAAAATTAGTTGGGCGTGGTAATCTGTTGCGATTACCTGCTTGCGTAGTGCTTCAGGCATTTCAACAGACGTGAAGTTAAGCTGTCAAAATCACAGGGCTTTGAGGATTTTGAGTCAAGATACTTTTAACAAATGCCCACAGGTACCAGAATCATGCAATCAGGTGTTTCAGAAGCACTGGAGCATTGACCCTCCCTGCTGGAGGGGGAGGGGGGGGGGGGCAGTTGAACCCCTTGAGACCTCGAGAACTAAATGGGCTACACACATCAAGTACACAGGGAGGATTGGTTGGTAGGTTCACTCCCTTGTGTCAAAACCTTAAGGTTCCTTAGTCATGATCTTGTTGTTATAAGACACTGTAGGACTATGTGACCCCGTTTGGTTGGGCGCAGGTCTTTCACGTGCTTTTCAAATATCGACCGCCTTAAACGGGCCGTGTTGCGCCGGCATGGCTAGTCAGCGGCGGTAAAACCTGCCGACTTGGTGGATAAGGTCGGCGACAAAAAGGTATATATTCACGCAAAGCTTGGTGCCAAAAATGCTTTTGGACAGCAAATTTTGGTGACAGCCAAGACGACAAAAATACGGCACACTATGCAAAACATAACGCAAGGTCTCCATGCCCAGATATTATGCCTCCATGTTAATACCGTTCGCCACACAACACCACGGAACGGTTCCGTAAAGACTCTTTACCGTACTCTACGGCGCCATGGTATCTTTTCTAGGCTTCATTCCAACCCGGCGACAAAAATATCCCCGATTTTTAGTTGGTCGGCTGACTCGGTGACAGGTCGGCGACAAATCAGTGTATATCCTATGGTCCGGACGGTCGGCCGATTGGCTGTTTTTAACAGCCGACACTCAGTGTTGCGTACTAGACAGTATAAGACTGAAAAATCAAAATATGGGGATTCATCTGGCCGCAAGGGCATGTAACAATCTATGCGATGCGACCGATATGGGGTGGGGGGTGACTTTCAACGCACTGCAATTTTGCAAGGGGGTTTCGCATTGCAGTGTCATGAATACCTGCCTGGGGTTTAATTTTTGACCTTACTTATTTCGTTGGCGGTTCTGCGATTCAGCATCCTCTCCTCAGCGACGAGAGGTATTGGCAGTCCGGGGTAAGTCGGCGATGTGATCCGTTCAAGGTAGAAATTGACCTGTGATTATCCAAACCGCCTTTTCAAGACCCTGAAAATGCTGTTAACTCACTGAAGCGGTCACAAGTGGCCAGCCCTCAACCGAAACATGGCTTCGACGACTGACACCAAACAGAATAATGGTGCCCAACGACATCTTCCGCCGAGGCAGAGCTAGGGAAACGCTTTAAAGCAATGCTGCAGTTTCCTATTCAATTGCGTGCGAATACCATCCATTACGTTGATAGGAAAGCGGATCAAATCGGGAAGACACGCATTCTTAGTTAATTTAAAGCTAGGGCTAGCTCGACCATTCCCCCTTCCCAGCGTACTTTGCGAAACTACACCCCCTGCTGTGGAGGCTCAACGACCGTGACACGTGACGGATTTGCGACCAGATTACTCCAGCATCAGGTCTACGATCGAAGGCTCGTTTCCCAAGCAGGGACAAGGCCGGTGCTCACGATTTACATCGGTCGGGGCCCCTGAGACAAGGCAGGGCCCCTGCATCGATCTGGGGGCCACAGTGCATAACAAGGGTCATGTATGGCAAGGAGCCCAGCATTGGGCTGAGGCGGTGTTCGGCGGAGCCCGCAGAAGGGCCTTCGATCAAGTGCCTGATTGGAAGATACGAAGAGCTCGCTATAGGTCACATTAAAAATCCCGGTCTACAGGATCGGGCCCTGAAATGTCAACCACAAAGCCTCTTGCACCGTTTGGGGACACCATAAGACGATCAAGGATTCTTTTCTCCATATATTTGCATATGAGCGAAAAAGGAAACACTGGTTCAATTAAATGCGGCTAGTGTCTGAACAGCGGGTACAGTACAGGTCCTAAACGCGTCACGGCCTATGTAATATATTTATATATCATCAACAACACTGTCACATTGGCTTCAAAAGGGAAGTGCTTCCTCAACTTCAAAACCATTCTGAAACCGACAAAGTGATCGTTTTGAAGCTAAATTTGGGCGTCAATGGCGCAGAGCAGAGACCAAAATCTGGGGAGTTATCAGGACTTGGAGGATAGGTTAAGTCAACTTGATTGGCCCGGTCTCCCCTCCCATTTTACAAAGCTACACGCCTGCGTCCATCCTCGATCTGGAGCAACATGTCAAACAAATCACTTAAAAAACTTGAGCCCGCATAATCGCAATCTTAGAAGCAAGAGCACCGATGGCCGAGGTAGCAGTTTCCATCAAAATGAGCGGCGTTGGCGGACCACTACGAGGCGACGGGCGCCTGACGCGCGAGAACAGCCGTCGCGAAGAAATGCCTCCGAAAGTCTTTCAAAACGAATTCGTACGGCTCAAAAATTAGACCCGGGAGAGAGCTTCACATGTATAATTTTGAAAACGTCCCTGAACAGATAAAAAGCGCCAGCGGCAGGGAAATAGGGATATTATGCGCCCCTGTCTAGTTCCAAAACCAAAGTCCAGCGCCGGTTCGTAGAGCTGTGAACGCTTATCTGTTCCTATCATGGATGTCAATTGCGCAGGAGGAACATGGCCCCGGAGTACGTCCTACACGCACGACTTGACATCCTACAGTGTTCACAGGTGCTTCTTTCAGAAATGTCACCGTTTTTATCCGCTTACCGACCACCGTCTAATAACATCGAGGAAACCGACGTCACGTGGCCTACGGAGACTGCAACGCCGGGCATCGGGGTTCTTGTTCCAAGGCTTAAGAGCTCGCGTGGTCAGAGCAATGTTACGTAATTCTTTCACTTCTCGGTTCTGCACAAAGGTTGAGCCTTCCCAGATGACCATGGTCTCTGAGGAGCCAGCTCAACTAGCAACGCCTGTACATTCAGCCTGTGTTGTGCGTGACGTTGACATTATGGTCGTTTCAGCTGTCATACATTCGAACTGAAGCGAGAAGTCATTTTTCCCTCAGCGGTGTAACAGTTTGAAATAGTGTCTCCCTGAATTACAGCTCGCTCGCAAAGCATGTTTGATGAAACATGCGGGGAAAGATATTATCAAGGGCAGCGCATGTGTCTATGCGTTTTGGGGAAAGGTTGAGACACATTTTCTGAAAAATGCGTGGAAGAGTCCTGATGGTTTGTTTCACATTAACTGAATTGGATGTAATTTATCGATGATATTTGAGGAATGTTGAGAAGCTTTACATAAACGGGATGGAATGCCAGACATACTGCAGACACCTTTCTTGCGAATACATATATAGATATAAAATATATTATATATACTTTATATATTTATATATGTATGTATATATGAATATATACATATATCATATACATGCATGTTTATACGTATATACATGTAGAAATGTAAATATATATATATATATATAATGTATACTTATAACGAATAGTGAGAACCGAGAGCATACGTTGACTCTGTCCGACAAGTTTTTTGTACCTGTCCTCTTATGGCGAATTCAAAGACTGTCCCCGCAGTCCTTTTTTAGAAATCGACATTCCTTCAGGAAACAGTGCGGAGTGCTTGGACGATGCACCATGCATCGATCTCCTTCCCCCTACCCCACCTTGTTTAGAATGGCAGCTGCCGGTAGTGGGACTTTGTAATAATCACGCGTACACTCCGATAAACATTGTGTGGCTGTGGCGATGTTTTCGTAATATGAAAGGTGATTTACTGGGCCATTCAGGCATCCTGTCAATCCAGACCCAAAAACACGCACATCTCCAGAGCTGGAAGAAAGTAAAGAACACGCTGGTGCTACTGAATTCCGTTCTGTTGGTTTTGTTTTTGTTTTTCATTCTGACGGCCAGAACATTCCGCAGCATTTTCGGCATTGCGCATTTTAGGTCATAATTGTGACCTGGAAGATTTCAAACTGGCACGTAACCAACAAAAAACTGCGTGCACGGGTAGTTTAGACAGACAGCACATCCCTGTTTATCGCTGTGCTGTCTCAGATCAAAAGTTCAAAAGCCTGGCCCCCTTTTCCGGGCGACGGCGTAAAAATCGCCATGTCAAGCCAGGGTTAATAGGTCATATGTTGGTTTCGAACTTGCATGGAAAGATATTATGATGTGTCCTCTTTCAAATCTTGCCGAGAGATAACCCAGGATACCTGAACTGCCAAAAGTGTAGTCGGAGTAATCGTTTTCCGAAGATTGGGGGAAAACCGGATGCGTTGGGATCTGCTTGCTTTCCCCTAGCTTCATTGAGGAATCGTTCGGCGCACGGAACCATTGCCAGGGATGCAATCACATGTCTTAGCCAAGACATCAACGAAAGGTAAGCTACCAGCAAGTTGCCAGATCTGACACAGTCACGGAATGACATTGTCCGGCAGCATTATTATATATGCACTTGCTGGTGAGCGCACTGCAGAATCTTCAGATTCTGGAGCTTATCGAGAGAAATAATGGTGATTTATCACAACTGCTCTATATCGGCAAACAATTCTACACTCATTCCAGCACCGGTTCACGAAGAAAGTTCCTCGGATTTATCTGAACGATTAGTTGGTCCGTGGGAAGCTTTATACACATATGTAGACTGAAAACGTAACACACATAATCAACCCTGACCAACGGACCAAAAACGGTCAACGCGCAGCCAGCATACCAAATCTTAACTCACCGCCATCCTGCACGAGCACCTCGCGGGCCAGCTCCGCACACTGCTGCGGGCAAAAGAGCTTGGCCTCCTCACAAGAAACGTAGCTGTTGTGGGACACGCCTCCCGCGACCAGTGCCAGCTCTCCCAGCTCCAGCACCAGGTTGCTGTCGTCGCCCATTCCGGGGCCGGTACGTAGCGCGCACCGGCACGATTTGCTGCCGACCGGCATCGAAATCATGTGCACGCCGTGGCCGTACAGCGCCCGAGCCGGCGCCAGCGTGGCCGCCAGCATCGCCGTCAGCACCAGAGCCGCCTCCGCGGACATATCGCCGTCCCCCGAGCTGCTCGCCAGCGGCGCTGACCGCGTCCTGTGGCATGCAGCTGACGGCCACAGTCCGAGGCGCCCCATCTGCCCGCGGGGCACGCTTCGTGACCTTGGACGGAGGCGCGTGATTGGGCAGTGTTTCGCAGAGGAGAGTATCGTTCACGCTGGGCACCCGGTTCCAAAAGTACTGACATCAGCTCAGGGAGGACAGAAGTACGCCGAGGTGGATGTCAACCAAAAAAGTCCGTCAGCTGTTGCTTGAGCATGTGATTTCGCTTTCATGGTGTTGGAGGGCGCAAGCTTCAAGGCCGAGAGATGCTGAAACGATGTTGTCCAAATTGGATCCAATCAAAGGTGAATTTGGTGCACCGTCAACGCATTATACTGTGTTGGCCTTCCACACAGTGTCAGCGGACCATACCCTTTAAGCAAAGCAACCAAGCCATAAGTCAGGCCTGCGTTCTTTTTTCGAACGCTTAGCTGATGCACACAATTTTGTGGAACAGGGAGGAGCGCAGAAAACACGCAGTTTTAGGCTCGTTCCCATAAATGGCAAAATTTTGGAATGTGCTACGGTTAGGTTATTTGGTTATTTGGATAAAAGCCCTTTCAACCAGAGGTGATGATTTTAGGGCTATGAAAGAAGGAGAGGGAGAATGAATAGCCAGTAAATATAAAAATCTAATAATAGATAATAAAAATAGAGATGAAGTAAACTTCTTAAACTCTCGGATAAATATGGGTGAACACCATGAGTAAGACCACCTGTTAGTGTTTTTTTCGGGATAACTTGCATCATTTTGCACTGTCAAGATTAATTTCGCAAAACTACGACTCTGTCCTCGGCCATTTTCCAGTTTAAGACCCGGTGATGATTCCCGCAGTGTGACGGACAGTAGGCTCAGATTGCTCACACCGCGCTGGTGGTGTATTTTCAAGCGGTCTTGTTTAATTCAACCAATGTTTCAATGTACGCAGGGTGGCAATTTCGCACGGCTGGTTTGGCAGCACTACACCATCACACAAACGTTTCACGACGTAATCAAATAATGACATGTTGAGGACGATATTTGCTAAAGAAAAAAAATTATCTACAGGAGTCTTTTCCAATTAAAAGTATATCAACACTTCCAAGTGAGCTTATTTCATCATATCCAATGCTTGTTTCAGCATCTTCAATCGTGGAACATTCTCTTTAAGATGTGTACATGACAGGGACTGCCTGAGGGTCAGGTAACCTTTTTCCACATGTGTCTTAATCAATTTTTAACAATGGATCGAGACCCCTCCCCCCCGAAACAAATTGGATGGTGAGAGGGAGGTAAGCCCTCACAAAAATAAACAATTCAACATCCCTGTACATCGGAAAATGAGCTCAAAACTCCACTCTGAGCAAAGGAAGGTGACAAAGCTTAGAGTGCACACCAAATTGAGGAGGAACTACCTACTGCCTACTTTAGCGGAGCCCTCTCCTAAAATGGTCCTTCAAGGATTATTACGGCGTAATCCAACGCCAGGGTTAAAAAAGCTTCTCATTTACCAAATATAATCGGTGGCAAAAACCGACCCTTTTGCGGGCCAGTTGGTGGCAAACTTGCGAACATGCAAACAAATTGAAACAAACCGGACCATATTAAAAGATACCATCCCAGTTAGACGAAACTCAAAGCTTGGTATTGGTCCGCACCCGCTAACGCTTGTAGTTTGGGTTTGTGTAAATCATATGCCAAAACATTGACATTTCGCTATATGAGCAATTGAGCCACAGTATGCTGTCAAACATGGCAGCCTTAATCAGGATAGTTTTTTAGCAGACGACAAAAATATAACATAAACTTCACTTTATCAGTGTTGACGTCGCAGATCAGTGGTGACACATTGCTTTTCCAACGTCCCTCAGATTAGTGCTTTTCACATATTTTTAAGCCAAGAGTCACTCAACATGCTAAACAGACTAAAACACCAGATAAGTGCCGTGGTCAGCGACGATTCATACTGATAAGAATCGCAGTTGGCCACAGCATTTTGCGACGAACGTGATAAATTTGTTACACGGCGTTTCAAAACGTTGTGCCATTTGAGACAGGTGAGCTCGAATGCTCACCACACGGTAATGAATTGGCTTCAGTGTGCGTTCAGTGCAAGGCTGCGGGCTGCCGTTGGTTGCATTTTCGTCGTGAGAAGCTGACTGGCTTGAAGAACGTAGCCAATCGTGATCTGTTTTTTTTTTTAAGGCGCTGTGCGACTTATCCAAGGGTCTATCATCGGGGTCGTCCCTGGTGATAGCGCTAAATAGTCCTGCCGATTTAAGAGGCTCGTTGTTTGTGGATACCCGAACCGTAGCTCCAGAGGTCGACGAAGGACATTGGAGCGACGCATGCCAAGGATTCATCTGGGGCTTTTGCTGCTGCAGGGAACAGTGGCTTTGAGGTAAGGTGCCGATTGCCGAGCATTGCTGGTATAGGCCCCTCACACTGCCAGTTGCATCGCAGACTCAACGTTCTGACGGGCGGACAGGTTTGGGATAAGACGATTCTAATCGTCATTTTATTGTACATAGTGCCAGCTGAAGACAGTAGGCGCTCATAAATGTCTTGTGCATCTGCTGATACCAATATTGCATCTGTTTCGTACTAAATTCCGTTGACTGTAACCGTGTTAGAAAGTGCGTGTTCTGCGCCAGTAATAATTAACCGGAGATGGTTAAGGTCGCCCGCGCTTCCAGCTGATTGTACGATGACGTCACAAAACCAGAAGTGATATTACTTTTAGGTGCTCGTAGACTATGCACACGCTAAATACACACCTACAAAGATGCAGTTTTGCAAAATGCGTAGGCGTGAGGGGACAGGGGGGTAGGAGGAAAAATGGCTGAGCCTGCCTCCCAAACACACTTCAGTTTTCTCCCCAGATTTCACACACTTTCTTTTCAATTTTAGGAGCAGGGGAAAAGTGTCTCAAAATTAGTTTGGGGGGCTGAACACTATAAGATGATGATTTATGAAAAAAGTAATGAATAAAATGATCAAGATAAAAAGAAACTACATACCTGGTTAGGAGGCGAAATCCACCCCTCCCCAACGAAAAAGTAGAGCATATGCTTCTAGGCTGGTCATGTTAAGCATTACCATTATTCAGTGTTTGATGGCTAGCAAATGATACTGGAGTACGAATATAGTCCTGAAACGAAAATGTTGGATGGTTATGCCGTATCGCATTTTTTTTGGGGGGGGGGGCGGGGGTGTTATCGCATTCACAGTTCTATTTCAACGGTTTCTCATAAATTTGGCTCCAGGTGACAATTAGGACGTTTCCAAAGTTCGTCGGTGACACAAAAGACACTTTTTCACCCCTGTCTAACGCGAAGGACAGATATTCAGCTCTCATGGTGTGTTGCTGGGGAATGTGCATCTACATACAGTTGGTGAATGTAGCTTTGGTAACTTGCTGTCGCTGATATTTAGATGGTCTGGCTAAATATAGTGCATTCAGAAACTGCCTAGCTACCGGCACCAAAAGCAGAGCACAAAAATTAATATAAATGTACTCGGGCGTTTCCGCCTGTATGCAGTCTCTTCGAATACGTGACGGGCATCAAATTTTGCAGAGCGATGCCTGTGCACCTCAGGTTGTTTAAGTAAAACGCTTAGTAATGGTTCTCCATAAATATGGATCGCGTGCCAGTCATCTGGTGGATTTAGATAAATGGTTTCGATTAAAAGCATGCACGGTTTTAGCTGTGCCCATCATGCACACGAGGGCATGGCTCGCGATGTGTTTGTTTCTAGCGCATGCGCACATGGCTCGAGTCTCACAAACCAAGGCTATCAGGGAGATAGCGTGTGTAGCTCACGGTAAGGTGATCTGCGGCTTATGAGCGAAGGCCATCACATCACGTCCAAACCAGACAGCGTGGTAACCTCCTTTTCGTGTGGTTGATACCGTTTGCGGTCCATGCGAGGGAATAGTTGGTATTAGCTCTGCGCTTTTGGGACCCACTGGAACAAGTTGAGGAGCGATATCTGAAAACGGTTGCTTGTCATCTCAGCCCAACATTCATTCAGACCAAAATATCAAATATTTTTGGGACACTCCAGTGACGAAGATGCAGGGTAAGTCTGAAACACTTGTCCCCCCCCCCCCCAAATAACAATGAAATACTGGCATTACTTTCAGTTTGAATTGGAACCACGGTTAACCCTTAGGCAGCAATACGAACGCTTTGATTTAGCGTCCGCTGTAGGACGATCCGCTCTGTTAGTCTCTTTCTCGGTTAATTATAGACCCTCGCGGCGTCCTGTTTGCCCTCTCGACGCCCCTTCATGCGCCAGCCATGAGTGGGGCCGAATGCCCTCCGGCGGGGCCTCCGTCCCAGCACCGCACACGCACCCGCCGAGGGGTCACTGCCTGCAGGCTTGTGTTCGGCTCGAGCTCAATCATGGATTGGCTCATGACCCGGTCGTTTTGGGGTGAGCCGCGAGCTGAGTCGGCTCGTTAGGAAAAGTGCCGCTTTGGGTCATGAGCTGAATCAAATTCTTCGTAAATTTCATGAGCTGAATAGTAAGGCGACTTAGATCGCCAGTAAGCTATATAGCTTTACTTGGAGTGGTAACATGAGGAAACACAGCAGCTCTCAGATAGATTAACAGCCTATTTCGGAATGTGGCCTTCCATGATTGCATGAATAGGTATTTCCAGTTTTGAAATGGGTAAATCATTATCGTTTTTGTTGTTTGTGAGCTACGTTTCATGCAAATATGCCTTGTTCAGAATTGGTAGTCTTCCATGTTCTTGATAAGCAATGCTAATTGGAGATAGTTAGTTAGTGACAACTTTTGTTGCGCCAATTTAGCTTCGGGTCGAGTCAAGTGGATTTTTGCTGGGGTTGTTTGTGAGAAACCCAATCGTAACTTATGACACTTATTACTCAGTTAAAGTATGCCCATAATGCGTTTGTACGTTACATTAGCTAATCCCCATTCCAAGAACTGAAATCCGATGTTAAATTGTTGACATGCGATCGTTACGGCA